GTATCTATAGAGATATTCTTAAGGGCGTAGAGTATAGCGTAAAGAATAGGGAAAATCAATGGCAATATATACTAAGAATTTGATGCAATATTTTGTGTGAATCACTATATTTTAGCCGTTAGTATAGCCTTATGTCAGACGCTATTATTTCTTGATGAACACAATAGAGATATATTTCATTATTATATTTCTCGTAAAACTTTCACTCATTTTTTGCAATAAATCTTCATAAATATAATGTAATCTAAATGTTAAGAAGTTTTTATAGTTTTGTTTAAATTAAAATTAATTGATTGAAGTAATTACTGTATCAATACAATAATTATCCGTACTTTTAGTACATTTTGTAAAACGGATATGCCCTTAACAATACAGAAAAATAAAGCACCTGTATTGAATACTATATCAATATTTGAAAAATTTTACTATTAATAAATCAGAGAATAATTATTATTTACTTTGAAAAATTTAAATTCTATAAAAAAAATTTTGACTTAATATGGATTCAAAATCATATTATCATTTATTATTACAATATTACTAAGATCATTATTACTTTTGTTAGTTATGACAAAAAATAACATTTTTATGAATATGAATTTACAATAATTTTGCAATAAAGCAAATATTTGTCGATAAAAAATTTAATATTTATCTATATAATTTCTATAAAATCTAATTATAAAATATAAAAGTAATGCAAACATAAGTCTGCCTACAATAAAGATTTTTATATAACATTATTTGCACTGTTTTGCTATCAAATCCTATTTGTTCAATAAGTTTACACTACATTAGGCACCGATTTGTACCATTGATTTCTGGTGTACCCCAATACTGTATATGATATGATATGATATTATATTATAAATTAAAATTTGTAATGTAAATAAAACTATTTAATCAATTATTCATATTATGATTCAACCCATTATTATTATTATTATTATTATTATTTTTATAGGTATGGGTTATAGCCTTTTGGCTCAAGTAAAGCCTGTCTTTTGTCTCTATTCATCATTCTTTCCTATATTAATATATTCATTGATGGGAACTTCCAGACATTGTTCAGTAGGTGAGTGCTCTCCATGTAATATTTATAATACAGGTGCTCCCAATAGTCAAATATTATGCATTCAATTATATGGTTTTACACAAAGTAGCATTTATTATTTATTGTAATGAGTTTTTTATTAAATTGGTTTTTATAATTATAATAAAGAATATTCATTATAAGGAAATAAGTTTTGTATGTTAGCCATGTCCAACACTTGTTATGATCAAGTAAATTTGGTACTAATATAATAATTATCATTTATGTTACAATAATATTCTAATATTAATGATAAATGTACAAAAATATTCAAAATAAGTATTATATATATGATGTTTACTATTTATTAGATATATATTTATAGATTTATATCTCGATAGAAATGTCATCAGAAATCCTTTCCATAAAATAAAAAGCATTTTTCAGTGAAAACAATTTTGCAAATCCTTGAGTACACTAACCGTAAGATACAATGGGATGTAAAATACTTTCCTATTTTCAAATGATTTGTCTTTTGAAATGATCTTTAAAATAGAGATAAGATTCACAATAATATAATACAACATATTATATTATATTATTAAATTTTCTCTCATTAAAAGTATCACTTATTAAGGAAATGATTGTCAATGAATTTGCTATGAAAACTATACTATTATTTAGAAATCAATACCTAATTGACCTTCATACTAGAAAAATATTTTATATATGATTTATACTGTAGTACGAGTGTACTTAAAAGTAAAATATAACGATAATTTTTGCAATTTTTAAAAAGTTATTTAGTACTCGAGATATACTAGAAAATTGTTTAGTTTATTGGCATTTATAGTGTCAATTAGTATTAGTACTTAATATAAAATTAATTCACATTTTCACGTAAATAAAATTCCCCATAATTTTTGCACTAAAGAATACTTTTGTAATTCAGAAAACTTTTTATTATTAACACGATTTTATCATAAATTTTGTGAATCAAAACTATATTATTAGACAACAAAGAGTATTTTTTATTACAAATAATATATTGCGTAAATTGGTTAAGAAAATTACCTAGAATTATGAGTTATTAGCTAATATTTTATTCATTGAGAAAATGTTTTTGTTAACTGAAAAATAGACATAACATAAATTTATATAAATAATACATATTTTAATAGTAATTATTTTGTTAAAGAAAATATACGTTAAAGGATTACTTCATACGGAATAATATATTAGACATCAGTTTCCGACTGTCTATCAAACTATCAAAATATCATTTATAAAATATAATTATAAAATAAAATATATTTATATTATAGCTCTCTCTCTCTCTCTCTCTCTCTCTCTCTCAGGCATTTATTTTAAAATATTTTCAAAAAATGATTTAGTTGTCCTAAAAGACCTTGAACATTGCATACAAGTGACCTAAACCATATTTAATTCATTGATCGGTTTATTATACAATTAAATGATAGTATGGTCTCAAATCACGTAATTCTATAATGATGTCTATATGTCTATGATTTTAAAATAAAGTTTATAATTTATTCATTAATCATAGCTTTTATCATAAGTACAGACAATGATATCATTTGAAATGTACTCATGAATAATGAGCATACATACCATTTTGTAGTTTATTATCATTAAATTACTAGTCTCAAAACTATTAAATGAACTAAAATCAATATAAATTATCAAACTATTTATAGTTAATTTTGAAAATAAATTCAACCAATATTTACAACACAAAGAAATCCATTAATCAATTGACAGATTGTTTTAATGAAAGTTTGATTGTTTGTAATTAGTTTCCAAATTTTCCTAGCTTTAGGTTAATTATAAAATAATGTTTAATTCAAAAAAATTTTAATTTTTATTTAAATTTGTCATTATATTATAATTATATTAAGCTGTCACTAAAATAACAGTATAAGAAACCTAATCTAATAACAATATAAATAGCAGTAAATAACAAACAATTTATTTTGCAAATTAATATTAATTAATGATTTTTATTGAATGAAAAATTAATTAATACAGTAGTATATTACAATTACAATACACAATAAAATAATTCTATAGTACAGTAATAAATGTTAACAAAAACCATACATATTTTGCATAATTTCTAGCAAACTTACTGAATAAAATTAAAATGTTGTTTAATATTTAAAAATATAACTCCAAATGATGATATTGTGATCAGGCACATTCGCGGCACTGGCCATAATGACCGGGGCCATCATAAACCAGGTTCGCGAGAGTGAAAGCACCCACCCTATGCAATCAGGTGTACCGGTACACCTCAGGAACACCACTACCACACCTCATGAACACCACTATAGTAACGCTGAGATCGCTATTGTCTGCTCATTCATCGTCGGATGCTATCAATTGATATTCGGTTTGACATTCAATTATTGCATACAATTTCCACACACATTATAAGCATTAGATTTTTAAAACACTAGGAGAAGGCATCACAAATATTTATGTTTTTAAATTTCATATTTAATTTTTAGTTATTTATAAAAACTTTTGTTTGCTTTTTATATTATTATCTAGAATACCAGTACAGTTATAAATAATCCTGTAACATTAAATATAGTAATATTTTCTTAGTCTATATTCCTATATAATTTACTATACATTTATTCTGGTAGCTGTTTTTTATACAAAAATAAACCAGTTCATTATCAGTAATTCATTATACTAGTAATTTAATTAGCTTTTACAGATAAATCTATAGACATTAATACAATAAAAATATGCAGCATGCACCTAATTATAAATTTAATATCTAAAGGCTTTCTACGGTTGGGCTTTGTGTCGGTGTATATGTCGGAGCAGTTTCTCAATGGGTTCACGTGTGCGGTGGCCTACCATGTGGTGGGCTCACAGTTTCAGCACATGTTCGGCATCGACACCAAAAGCCGTTCGGGAGTGTTCTCCCTCTCCCGTGAGTGCATTGATGTCATCGCAAACATATCGCACACTAATATCGTGGCACTCATGCTGTCCGTCGTCTGTACACTCATTTTGTTGGCGTTTAAGTGCTATTTAAACGATGTGATCAAGGACAAGTTCAAAATTAAAGTATGTTTCATTTTAAATATTTAACATTAATTTTCATATTAGTAGATTACTGAGTAGACAAATCATTAGGAAATTTATTCAAATTATAATAAAACTTACAAATAACTTTATCGAAAATAACTTTATAGTCATTTAATTAAGTATTATTTTTTCAGTCCACATGACATTATTATAATATTTTATGAAACTAAAAATAATTCTTAGTTTTATGGATGCATACATTTATTTGACAAAGCTATTATTCTTTATATTCAATAAGAGATACAATATTTATTAATAACTTTAAACCCTTTTAATCTCATAAATTACAAATTATAAAATTTAACAATATTTCATTATGAACCTCCATGTGCGCGTCCAGGTGCCATTTCCAATTGAGATATTCGTGGTGATAGGATCGGTGATAGCATCCAATTTACTAGACTTGGAGCACAAACATAAAATCAAAGTGGTCGGCCATATAGAGCGCGGCCTACCCTCACCAGTGGCTCCGTGGGACTACTGGCCCCTCGTCCAGAAGGTATGGGTGTCGTGTGTGGGCGTGTCGGTGGTGTCCTATGCCAT